GCAGGCTGGGGAGGCGTGGCTGGTTCTTTGCCGGGTGGCTGCGGGGACAGCGGTGTGGCCGAGTCTTTGGGAGGCTGCGGGCTGTCGGCTGGCGCTGGGGCCCACGGAGATGGAGGTAGGACTTTCTACAGGAGAAGGGAGGCAGAGGTGAGAAGACAGGGACCCAGAGGAGGGCCCTGGTAGGGGCCACGACACCCAGCACCCGCAGGCCACGGGGGCAGAGTTAAAATGCAGCGCCATCCCCAGGGGCTCTGGACCCAGGCTTGGGACAAGCAGAGGTGTCCCAAGGAGGGGGCCGGCTCCATGGCCCATGGGCACCCAGGACCCCGTCCATCTGCACAGGGGCCGCGGGAGGGGAACCCAAGGCCAGCAGAGGCTGGGAGCTGTGCAAAGCCCCTCCAAAAAGAAGCCCGGACTCTCCGTCTCTCGGCCCTGGGGCCTGGTCCTCGGCTTCTCCTGAACTTTCTGAAATACCCATCAGAATGGGGAAACCTTTGGGGTGGGGGTGCTGGCCCCAGGAGACCTCTCCCTCGGGCCTGGTCTCAGGCCATGGTCCCATCTGTGGGACCCATGAGCCCGGCTTGGCCCTGGAACCACAGCTTGACCCAATGCATCACACCAGTGCGGCAGGATGGGTGTGGTTTAACTTCCACAAAAACACGATGCAGGACCGCCACGCACGGCGGGCACCACTGAGAAGCGCGGCATCACCCGCAGAGGGAGGCCGGCTACGGGAGGAGCTGCACCGATGCCCAACAGCCTGAGGATCGCCCTGCAGCGTGGGGCTGCTCCCTGGGTGGTCATGGCCTCCGAGAGGCACTGCCCGGAGGGGTGGGGGCAGCTCTCGGGCGCAATGTGCCTGAGTCTCGGGAACCCAGGAAGTCACCCCTCTTGGTTAAGCGCCCCACAGCCCATTAGAAGGGGGGTCCCACCCACTTCTCGTTTACAAAAATCACAAAAGCAGAATGGACGTGGCGTTAAGCCCTCCCTGCAACGCGCACGGTTAACCCTCGCCAGCCGCCCCCTGCCTCGCGGAGGGGGACAGGGGACAGGGGACAGGGCTTCCACAGCCAGGGCCAGCCTGCTCCCCTCGCACAGGGCTCTGCGGCCCCACTCCCAGTCGGGCGCCTTGCGCTCAGCAGGAGAGACGACGGATGCCCAATGCCCACACAAGTGGGGCGCCAGTGACTGTTTTGGGGGAAGCAAGGACAGGGCACCCCCGGGTCCCAACCAGCATGTCCGCCCACCGGCGCCACACACACACGACACCCAAAGCAGACGCTGCCGGGACCCTGACCCCGTCGCGGCCGCGGGGCTGCTGTGGCTGGAGGCCTCACTCAACTTGAACTCTAGTTACGGCTCACTAGGCGACTATTTCTCACAGTCAGAGCAAACGGGTATTCACCGCAAAGCCGCTGCCCGTCCAGAACACGCCCAGCTCCCGGCGCCAGAGTGCCACGGCGCAGCTTGTCACCAGCGTGCAGGGCACCAGGTAGAGGAGAGCGGGCTGGCCACGCTGCATCAGGGCCAACGCCACGAACGTCACCAGGAGGCCAACGCCATAGGCTGTGGGGACAGAGGAGGCATCACCTCAGCCAGGCAGGCCGGGGCCAC